CGGTCCTTTATACTTACTGATGTCATCGAAATGAAACTGATTTAACCCTTTATCACATTTCGGTTCCTAAAGTAACCAGATACGCCAGACGCTATAGCTATGAAACCACTGAATATTTTTACATTCTTGTTTGGAAACAAATGTAGGGAAATGAAATAGCTTTCATTTGATACTTTACAGGCTAAAATCGGCTGGCTGAATTGAAAGTTTTTTCTGTTCATGTACTGCTGTAAAAAAAAATGCGAAATTATAGCAGAATTCCACATTTTTCCTCCTCTTATCTTGTGGGTTTGTTCATTCTTTTCAATTGTCAAATTAGGACTCGTAGGACTAAAACACATCAATTTAACTTTCTGCATCATTAGTTTTATAAAATTTAATTTTTTAAAGCTTTTATAGTGATTTGACACTTTTGACTCTTTTCCTATTTTCTGGACAAATACGCAATTTTTCAAAAATCTAAGTATGAGATTTTTTTCTATTTATCGTGGCACAAAACATATATCAAAATGATTCAAAAACAAAAAATTGTGCATCAAAGGGTTAAAGAAAACAGAATCATTTAGTGTTGTATATAATTCCCAATTGGTGCTGTGCCTCAAGGCATATATTGTGTTTGCACCAGAAAGGAAAACAAAATTCAGTTTGCAAGCTGTCTTCCATTCTTCGGAGTTGGGATTTTTTTCAAAAAAGAAGAAAATAAACAAAGCACAAGTCGCGCTATATAAACAAAGGTTTCTGTTTTAAAAGTGTCATAAATATTATTCCTTGTAAACATTCCCGATTTCTTCTTATTCCATTCCATCCTGATTATTTCTCAAACACTCTTTCATTTCTTCTGAAGCGCAGTACAAATCGAAGTCTTTCATAATTTACTTACGTAAAGCATAAATGCAAAAGAATTATATAACCAAATGATCGCAAAGAGAAATGATGCAAATCTAAATGGTGATGGTGCGTTTTATTTCTCAAACATAATCGATTTTCTCCGTTTATGAAACCATTTATTCAATTTCAATTGAAAAAAGAGTATGTTTCTTTCTGGCTTGTGTTCAGTTTTTTTTCCGGCTTGTTCTTTACGCTCTTAATGCTTGTAACTATAAATATGTTGCTTGAACTGAAAAGCCACACAAAACCAAATTTGCTACACTTGTTGTTTTCAACGCGAAAATCATTGAACAGGGCTTGTTTTTGAATAGAAAACCATTCAATTAAATGAACTGACCTTTGTACATGATGGCAAATTATTGTTGTCATAGGTTGGACTATGAAAGCATTGACCGTTTTATATTCATCCTTTGCACAGTTTTTTTCGCACATGTTTATACCGAAAACAAAGTGCATCTACCACTCACTTTTGAACATAGAATGGTTTTAACAAAATATCTTTAGAGATCGAGTGTCGAAAAAACGCTGAACAAAATCCATTCAAGTCGATGATGACCATTTCGGAAATAAGTAATTAACATTCGCTTAAATCTAAAATGCAAACGAAACTCTCAATCAAATGTATGGAAAAATCGATCTTTATTTTTATATCAGACAAAATAAAGTTCAAACGACACAGCGGAATTCATGTACATTGATTAAAAATGCTCATGAAACAGAAACAAAAAACTGATGGGATAATATGAATCGGCTAGAAATCATTGGCAAATTATTCCAACTGATTCATGCATAAAAAAAAACGATAGATAAAAATTAGGTGTCATTTGTATAGTATTTTGAATCGTGTTCAGCGTTGCGTTGTCAGTATCAATGTGGAATCGAGTCCCAATTTTTAATGTGTTGCTGCAAAAAAAAAACCAATAAGTACAAAGTCAATTTCACAAATTTTTTCCTGATTTTTACACACAGAAAAAAAACTCAACAAATCTAGAACTTACTTCTCGCACAGGAGTGTTCAGAGCACCACATTTGGGGCAACCGTGAGATTTGTTCTTTTCCATGTTAAAGGAATTGTAGCCATGACCGCATTGTGTGCAGTTGTAATTGGCGTGATATCGATCTTGCATTTGAACTGTGCACAAACCAATGATGAAACGAAAATTCTTATTCTTTGATCTCGAAGTTGAATTCGCCTGAATTCTGTATGCTATGAATGCTGACCGCCGCTTACTACTTTCTGCTTCAGAAGATATTATGAAACAAAGTTTCAAAGTATTTTCGTTCGAAAATCGATTTGTTAATTCACTTCTTCGCGTTGTTGACTAACTGATCGCTCGGACACACTAGCATGCGTTTGTTTTCATTCTATAGTTCCGTTTTAATTGGTTTTTTGCATCGGACTCGACTCTCAAATGTATTGAATTGTCATATTTTAAACATAAATAAAAACTGTTTGATAAAAACAGAAATTGTATTCCTTGATGACATAAACAACATTTCAAACCACTCAATCGCAACAATAATAATCAAGAAAGATGATAGGCAACGAATAAATTGTAAATATTTGGAGCAGTCACTCGGTATTTTTCTTTGAAGGAATGCTATTCTGCGTAAAGAAAACATAACAATCGATTGTGTCACATTGAAACCAAACAAAATATTCCGAGCGATAAAAATTGCTGAGGTTTTGCAAAAGTACAACCTGTACCAATCGTCGATAAAATTTTGCTTCGAATTCTTTATGCCCATACTTTTTTTGGAATGTATCAAATTAAAACGCACGATAACATATGGCTGTGAAACGCATCATAACAAACGAAAAAAAAAATTGGATCATTTCGACGAAAGAGTGATCGCATTTGTCATTCAGAAGCAAAAGATGAAAAAAAAAAACGTTTATTTGCCATAAAAAGATGTCCATGCGTAGAAATATGGCAATACTATAGAAATAGAGTCGGTTAAAAAGGATATAAACAACGACTAAAACAGCTGTAGTGCATCTCAAACGTACACACACACACACACACACACACACCCATACATTGACGCTGAACACAAAACAGCGCATTAAGAGGGATGTGTGTTTGTGTGCGTGTGTACTTTATACATACGATGCGATGCAAGGATCAACTACTCACTAATCACTCATACAGAGATTGCCTGTCAAAAGAATACACTATACCAAATCTCTTTTGCAAAAAGTCAATTAAGAACACCGATTCGCATTTAACACTTTTCTGTCGCATCACGAAGGAACGGCATCAATTCTCAAGGAAATCAAATTTCAACCGTGTAAATCCAATTCAAGTTGTGATTTGAATAGTTTTCAGTTATTTTTTCCATCAAAAATGGCGATATATTCAAAAATAGTGAAGCCTCTCATTGATGATGTGAATATCGTGCAAGCAAATCCAGCCAAATATTGGTCACTGATTCTATCATGGACGTTGTGCTTCGCCATTGCAGTCTCTGATAATACACTCAGCCTTACACTTTCGGTAATAATTTTTATTCAATGAAACTTACGCAGAACAAAATATTTAATTGAAATATCAATTTTAGCTTCTATACAAAGATAGCATTTTCAACGGAAAGCTTGGACTCATCAGCATTGTATGTGGCTGTAGTGCAGGTAATGTAAATTGAATCAAATTCAAAACACCAGGAAAACAATTAGAAAAATCGTTCTGAACCAGTTTGAAGATATCGAAAATAAAATGTGTTCTTCTATTTTGCAGTATTGATCGCTGAATTCGTGGACATATTGAAGTTGAAATATAAGTGTCATTCCTTCAAAATATTTCATTATATTTTGATGCTTCTGCTCAATGAGGCAACGACTGGTATTTTACTATTTTATCTGTGGTCGTTTGCGATATCGACTTACCAATCGCTGGATGGATGGAAAGCTGTTTTGTTCATTAGTATCATTTACTTCGTTGTCTTGTTTGTCGCTCTGAATGTCTTCAATCATCTCGCGCTAATTTATCACACTATAAAAAGGGTAAGGTCGAATGAGAGTCAACGTATAAATTCGAAACAAAACCATCCTTTCTCACTCTAGTTTTCGTTCTCTTATGAAAATAATGAAAGTAGAATAGAAAGAAGAAACTGATTTTATTATTTGAATTCAAATATATTTTGTTAAACTGAATTTCTCCGAAACCCTACCAATCAAAATGATCGACAGTGTAGATTTTTCACTGACCAATTAAACAAAACAACTAATCACAATTTAAATTCACGAAAAAAATAATATTCTCCTTTCCTCTAGACAAAGAATAACCAATTAAAGTTTAGTGGTCCACTCAGAGCATTGGTTTGTATCATCACTTGCATTTTCCTCATTGGATCAGTGGTTTTTGTGTTCAATTCAGTGTCTCAAAAATTGCATCTCATTGAGATTCAAACAAAGTTTTGGCTATATGGTATGTGTTGACTAAAAATGCCCTTAACAAATTTACCAAAATTTCATTTTCATGTTTTTTTTTGCTCGATTTTCATTTCTTTACAGTTATTCTTGCCACCTATTTCTTATCACATGGTGAAGAGGCAACAGTTCAAAGCCGCTTAATTCAATTCGTACAGTCTGCAAAAGAAGCTATTCATCCTCTTCACTTGTACATTCCAATGTTATTGATTGCAGTGGCCCAGTATTGCTATCGAATCTACAGAGATTTAACGGTATCCAAAATTGTACTGGACTTTGAAGCGGAACAATCGGAAACGATGCATGATCCATGGCACAACTTTTTATCTGTCACATACTTTATTTTCATTTTTTCAATCGGTAAGCAAAATAGTACAATTGATTATTATTTTTTGTTCTACATTTTTCATGGGTGTAATGACTACGTTTTTGTTTCCTCACTAGTTCGAGACATTTGGTTGAAGTCAACAATTGAAGATGACTTGCGTTCAGGGGAAGATAGAACGAACAACAACTCGAAAAAAATTGAAACCGATGTATGATCTCCAATGGATGGTTGTTTCTATCGTAAACTGCTAATGTGTGATGTGTGTTTTAGTGAAATTTCAGTTTTGTATGAAACATTATGCAAATAAGCAAATTCAATTTATATTCTTTTAACCGAGTACAAATAATGAAGCAATGAGTTTTGAAAGGAATTTATTGACTTTTCTATTATTCGGATATGGCTCTATGATTTATCAGAACATTTATTTTTTATTTGTTTTTTTTTTTTTTTAGCAAAAGTGTAAATTTTCTAGAAATAAAGTATGAATTTCTTCGCATTTTACTGTCAAATAATCCTTGAACTGAGAGAGAACAGGATGTGGTTATTGTATTTGCTGGCATATCCATAATTGACCACCGCCATTGGACACCGTTATTTAATCCATTTTTTCTGAAAAAATACAAGTATTTTCAAATCAATTAGTTGAAGAGGATTGAAGTTAGAATTTTTATTCTTATCAATTCTTCAAAATCCTTATCGATCTCTTATGATCCTTAAAACGATTTTCAGCACTATTCTTACCTCCAAGGTGGGAGCGATGAAAGTCCCGCATTTTCGGCAACTGCGAAATTGATTTAGCGTTTCGTTGGCACGGATGAATTGCTTTCCGCACCCGCAGATATAAAGTGCATACCAGTGATCATCCATCTTTGCTCTGGTGTCTTTGAATGTTGTGAAAACTGAACTCTTAGATCAGATAATCAATCCAGCAGTTGTTCGAGGCAAACAGTTTGTCAGAGCGCATTGAACGTACTAATGAAATTAGTCGTTAATCGATCGAACAAAAAATCCAAAATGTATATGTTGACAAGCGAAAATGTAAGTACTGCGACTGAATTTCGAATAAATAACAGTGTTTAAATTATCGAATGATTTTCATGCAAAAGCCCAAACTGTTTTATTATGACTGTCGTTATCATTTCAACTGAAATTTGGACTGTTTATGAAAAGTAAAAAAAAAACAATCGGCAAGTATGAGTAATCAAGATCAGCAATTTTGTTTTCGGCCCATTTCATGCGAATGAAGAAAAATCGAATAAAAATACATTACCTTATAGATGAATCATTCTGTCTGTAAATCAAGAGAAAATATGTTGTACCGAAATAAAGAGACTCATTTTTAAAGTGCTTCGATGAACATGATTGTTCTCAAAATCGAATGTATTTCGGAATTATTGTGAATATTTTTTTTTTTGAGATATTCGATGTAAGTTATATGGCGTAACTAAATGATGTCAAAAGCAGGTCGAAAATTAGCGATGCAGTCTGGTGCACTCATTTGAGATTGAGACAAACAGATTTTTTTTTCTCGGAAAAACAATGCGAGTTTTGGATGGTTTTATCTTATTAACAGCTGCATTTCTTGGACTGTTTACGTATTCCGTACATGCAATTGTAGCAGATCATCTTCCCCGAGTCAGAGGTAACCTGCAGTTATTCATGGATGAAATCAATTTCTAATTTTTTTTATATTGAATTTTTTCATCAAGCGATTGTCATAAATTTAATGAAGTTTTCTCTAGTTAAAAAACAGATATTCAAGCTTATAAGCTTATATTCACCTCATCTAGTGGACCATTCTGAGTATTGCATTGAGGGCATGGTCGTCTTTTGTCCTTTTCGCTATTAATTGAATCATAAACTTTTTTACAATTCGAGCAACCATAGTATGCATGCCACCGCTGGCCACCCATTCTTATTCAATCGACTACACTCGGAGTATTCGGTAAATCAATATTTTCGAATCGCTCGACAAACACAACAGAACATCCAATGTTGACGTATGGTGGAAGACTATCAACTAACCAAAAATATGTTCAATCAAAAATTATTCGGTACACTCGATTTCTGAGTCCCTTTGTTTTAACATGATTTCTTTTTGTCGTATCGTGTTTTTTTACTTCGCCAATTGTTTATATCGTATGAAAATCAAATGTAATCGATTTGAGAAAGAGTAAAAAGAGACAACGTATGCTTTACGAAAGTGTTAAGTGCTGTACACAAAATATTTACGAAAATTTTCACTTGCATTTTTCAAATCAACAAATCGAATGAAAAAAAAAACTCAAACTTATCTATTGGAAATAAACAGTTTTAAATCTGAACGCATTTCTTTTATGGATTCATCGGATTGTTTTTCTTTCTCGCCTTCATTTTTCGAACCAATATTCAAGTTTGTCCGTATCACGACTTTCGAAGCGTTCAAAGTTCGGTTAAACTCATTAAAATTCAACAGAGTGGACTTTGCAAAGTTTTCACAATTTAAATCCTCTGCATGTACAGATACCATGTTATCCATTTGCACACCGCTTCATTGTCGTGTTTGTTGCGTGCATTGATAGTACTTTGTATTCGGTGTAGCTGCGTTACGTTGGTTACTTATCGCGGCAGAATCATCGTCTTTTGGGAAATTACCATTTTGTTATCGGGCGCCAAAATAAAATACTTTTGCCTTACCCGTTTAGTAAAAAAAGATAAAAATCGGTTTAATACAAGTCCAATCGCATCCAATGAAAATCGATTTTTCTTTCGAGTTGATCAGAAAAATAAACGATTCCATTTTCTTTGGAACATTAATCGTATTTGGCTTGAACTCACTTACGAAAAAAAAAAACGGATGTCTTTGGAGCAACAAAATTTACAATGTGGAATTTTCGCCATTCTGAGCAGAACGTCTAAGTTGAACCTATCTTTTCGGTTCATTTTCCTGAACGATCTTAAAAGAAACGAGCAGCTTCAATGTATTCTAGAGTTGTGTTTATGCCTCGGTTTTCCTTTTAAACAAATAAAATCAATCAAAATATGAGCTCATTCCTGATCCCAAACGAATAGAATTCTCTTTAAATTTTCTTACAAGCAAGGTCGAATTTTATTTATTTCACACTTGTGATTATTTAGAGAATATTTTTGCGAAAATCATCCGTACTAAATTAGTTTGTTGCTTTCGTGTTTGCCGCTTTCGGAATTTAAATTAATTGGGATTTGAGGTGTATGTATTTGTACTTGCGTTTGAACTCAATGGGAGGAAAGTGAACAAATTCAAGCGTATTCGTTCAATTAAATGTGTTTCATTGGATGCAGATCTGATGCATGGCAAAAAACGTTCATTTTATACGACAAACCTGAAGGTACAGAAAGTAAACTTCATTTTTAAAAACTGTGTTCCAATTAGATTTGAATCATGAGCATACTTTCGTTTCATTCTCCTTTGCTCCCTCCATGCAATTATCAATGCTCTACTAAACTAATTACATTTGGCATTCATTCAATTTGAAAATTCGCGTTGCGAGCTAAGCTCACCCTTGCAATGATAGAGTAAGCGTAATCAAGAAAAACAATGACCATGTTTTTTCAATAGTGTTTAATGATGCCTTTTGTTCGAATAGCAACAGACATAATTCGATCGATATCTTTATTCTCGACAAATTGAAATGAAGTGGAACATGTTCAATGATGCATCATTTGGAAGGTAATTTTACTGGATTACCTAAAAATAAAAATTAGTATGGGAAACATTCGTTCACTTCATCGCGTATTTTCGTCTCTTCTCTTCAATTTGCACCTGATCCTAGAGAGGGATGGAGCAAAGTGTGAAATTGCTTCAATTTATTTGAGTGGTGTGTTGAAAATCACCACGGAAAATTGATGGCACCGCAGTTTTTGCATGTTGTGTCTACAGACACGGCCCTGCATAAGGAGGTTTACATTGTTAATTGAATCGAACAAAAATATACCAATGATGTCAAATAAAAGAATTGTTTTCGCACATCGATGGCTGCGAATTCAGAATATGTTTTTCATCTGTGCTAAAGTGTTGATAAATCAGACACGGTTTATAAACAACAGTTTATTTCATGCTATTACCTATCAAAAATGCAATCAACTTTTTTAACAGAAATCAATTCAGAAAAACCGATTAGTTTTTCGATGCTTCAACTTTGGAAGATAACTTCCTTTAAGAGAGTTTCAAATACTTACTCATCTTTCACCTACAAAAGTATTTATAGCTAAGAGTCGGATTTATGTGATGAAAACGTACAAATTAAAATGAAAACAATCAAATCTTTTAAACAGATTTATTTGCTGGCGTTTTTCAAAAGATTTATTTAATTTTAAATGCAACTCTTTGTGAAAATGGGCATTTTGGATGTCATTTGTCATCGATTTGTAAAAACGATACTGACACAATCTGTTTATCCAAATTATTTGTATGGCAATGGTCCACCATAACGGAAGTACAGCTGTCCCAAGAAACAATTGTTAACGCAAATACATCCATTACCAAGCGTATGTAAACGGTCGAATTAAGGCCCGCATTTGTGTGTAGTTTCAGTCATTTTTAACGTCACGATGGAAGTAGAAAAAAAAAACGGTAAAAACAAATCAATTAGAAGGATATAAAAACGATTATGAATCAATTGATAACAAAATAACAAATCACGTGTGAAACAAGGTTATATTAGGGTGAACATTTAAAGTAAAATTTGGGGATTAATTTGACTACAGTTACTACGAATTTCAACGTCATAACGAATTTCAACACCTCGAGTATCATCCAACTGTACGCTTCACTTGAACTACTACTTTTCATCGACAGCATTTGATTGGCGTGACGATTGCTGCGTCAAAACTGCTGTTTTACGAATTGGAGACAGAAAGGGAAATCTCCAAAGAGAAGCAAAATGTTTTTGCTTCGACAGTTTTTTATACGAATATATAAACAAACAAAAAATGGAACGGACCATTTTTCAATGCATTTTTCTTGGACAAAATGAGAAGAAGTTCCAATGAAATTATAAACAAAATGATTATTATATCGTGCATATTTCTAGAGCTAATGAATAGTTTGAAGATTTCAAGTGACATTTACAATTGAAAATGTTGCACAATGTTTCTGATTTCTCAATTGATTCAAAAATGAAAACGATCAAATCTGTTGTACATATATAATTCTCAGTCAGTCAGTCAGTTTTCACACCCATTATTAAAAAAAAAAGGAAGAAATTTGGAAATTTTGTCCGAATTAAATCGAGACATCTTACACCACTTACATCTGGACGTGGGGAAATATAATGATTGCAACGTCGACAAAGCCATTTTACGTTTGGCTGCAAGTTCACCGATCTGAATGCGGGTGCATCACAGTATCGGCATTTATAGTATCCAAGCCATCTGTCATCACTCATGGTTTTCGTTTTGAGCTTAACTTTCTTTAGTGGGATGAAAAAATCTTCAAAAACTCGAATGCACCGCTAGCCAAATTTGATTGAATTCATACTAATCGAGTCATGCCTTTTATATACAACGAAATACAATGGAAAAAAACCGCAAGAGAACATTTTGATTTAATATGCGAAAAAACGGAATCAGCAAGATTTACGAAAGACCACAATCGTCGCCAATAATGTTTATCAAAAAATCGATTGCTGTTTTCAATTTGAGAACAATGCAAATTTTAGTTTATCATCTATAGAATAATTAGTGCAATTGTGTATTCGACTAACGCAAACAGAGGAATTGTTTTTACTTTGCTGCCTGGAAGTGGTAAACATATTTTTGTCCACGCTAATGCGTTCATATATCGTACTGGAGAGTCATTGTTTACAAGATAGCTGTTCATTACTGTATCATTTGAAATTCCACACGAAATGTTTTGCTTTGAATTCGAAACGATTGGTGAAAAACAGTATTTTTGTTCACAGAGGAGCGTTTTTTCCAAATTGATGTTAAATATATAGAATACCTACAAAGCGTACAGCAGATCTCAGGAAAATCCTTTAAAATGTCTTCTTTTAAGCAACAAAAACTTAAAGCAATGAAAAATCAAACTATTAGAGTCAGGTTTGCCTTTATTTAACATAAAAAAAGCACCAGATGTTGACATTGTTTTCGCTCATTGTGTAATGTTCAATAACCGTTCGGCAACTGTTTCGCCTTAACTACGTCGTTTGATAGGACGAATCTGGAATTGAAGCGAAAACAATTGAATAAATCAAATGAGATTTCATTTTCTATTGATTGTAACACTACCATTTGCGGGAAATTTGAATGGCGACAAAAGGGACACAATCGCATCACCGCTTGACCCTTGACCACTTTTGTGTATAATTTCTCGCAATTGCTGCATTTGCAATATGCTTGTTGAACATCCTTGTACTCCTCCATGCCTGAATGATGCTTTCTGTGCAATAATTTTCCGAAATTCAAAATCTTGATGCGTGATCACGTGGGCCGAAATTTATATTGTGTGTTGACAAATGGATGTTTTACAATGGAATGATCCAACAAGTGGATCGAATCGAAACAAAATGAAGAAAAAAACAGTTGATTTTAAGAAGTTCAGCATGCAATATCAACATTTGAACCAATGTAAATATGCAAAAGTTTAGAATCGCTTACTGAGCACTCATTGATTTTCATCAAAACAAACATTTCACTTGATAAGTCTGATGTTCACCATCCATCATTTTCTTTTCTCCGACCACGAATTGATTGTTTTTCATAAAAATTGTTGGTAAATGTGATTCGAAAATGCAATGACCTATACAAACGTTCACTACATTATCCTTGAGCCGAAAAATCGTTTGGAATCTATCCTCAGCAAAACTGTTGCGCTAAATTAACTTGTGTTTTTTTTTACCTTACACTTCAACCTATTTCCGTTCATTTTGCATCAGGAACCTTTTTCTGGTTAAGTGACAACCTTTACTGCCCACCTCATCTATTCAGTTCGTAGTAAAGACTCAATCGACAATAA